CCCCCCCGCCGCTGGCTCCGACCCCACCGCCACCCGCCCCGCCCCGCCACCACGGGGATGCAGCATCTCCAGCACCGGGACGGATCCCTGCTGCAATGGTAAGTCTTTTCCACCGGCTTTTCCTGATCCTAACCCCCACCCTCCACCGCCATCCGGGCTGGGGACCGGGGGGGGCAGCGACCCCGGGGATGCTAAAGCGCCGTGATTGCAGCCGGAGAGGCAAAAGGAACCTCCGGCTTGGCTTGGAGTGACATTGATTTATTTACCGGCTCTTCTCCAGGTCCTGGGAAGACTTTTTTAAATTTTTTTTTATTTTTTTTGGGGTGGGGGGATAGGGGTGGCTTTCTGCCTTCAGCCAGAACTGCACCCCCCGAGGTCTAGACGTGCTTCTTTTTCGAACAAATAAATCTCCCTCTGCAAGCGGTGACAGGTTAACGCGCTCGGTATGGGAATCACGTCTGTTTTTAACACAATATGGCTGGGAAATAAAACCTGATTGCTAACAGCCCCGGTGCTGCTGTTGGCATTTTCGAGCTCAAGGCTCCCTTTGCAGTTCTGCATCTTCACCTGCCGCAGAAACTCTGATTCACCCTGCCAGCAGTGCACCAGGACTTCTCTATTTTTTACTGTTGGGCAGTAGTAAAAAAATTGCTGTTAATGTGCCTTTGACCTCTGCTTCCGCGGCTTTGTGCACTTTCCCTTATCAGTATTTGAACAGCTGGCTCTAATAAGACCATATTTATGCGAATCACATCTTAAGTCAGAGGGATAGGATACAGGACAGACTCTTTACTGCTGTGCTGTGATTTTAACATGTGAACAGTTCAGGTATGTATTGGAATCTGAAGAGTTTTACAGCCAGGGAGCTGAAAGGTAATGCGGCATGTTGTTCAGGACTGGAAAATGCATGAAAACCAGCGAGATAGATTTGTTTGGTGACATATTGGTGTTTATGGCTAGACAGCCATCCCACTTACGTAGAAGCAGGTCTGGAAGAACTCCCTGGAAGTCAGTGGCTTTCCTCTGCATCTAATCTGCTGGTAAAGTGAATCTGGTCTTTAGCTTGAAGAATATATTGGGAGTAGCACTGGAGGTAATTATAATGATAATAAAAAATATTAACTGAAGTGAATAAGGCAGCGAAGTGACCCGATTCCTTCCTAGGCTATTATGGATTACCATCCGTCTTGTGTATGTTAATTACAGTGCAAATTCTCATTTCATCATATGACTGCTATGGCAATATGCACCGTAACTGAAATGTTGGCTTTTTTTTAATCTGTTGGAGTCAAAAAACAACAAATGGATTTTCAGTTGTTGTTGTTTGGGTACACAGCCAGCTCGCTGTGCAACAACGGTCAGGTACAGCGAGGAGACGTTTCCATGGCTAGCACATGCTAATCAAAGGGAATGTGTGATTACTTAAGGTTACTGTTAATGATGGCATGAAGGCAAACTCCTGAAAGTGCTGTTGGTAAAGCTACAGAGAAAGAACGCATTATACAACCCTCTGTACTTGGCTACAGCAAAACACACTGGAGCCGTCTTGAAAGAAGTTGTCCTATAGCATGGGTAAGGCAACGCTGATCCAATTTGATGGATAATTAAGGCATGCTATTCAGTGCAATAATGGGAGTTGGATTAAAGTTATGTCTCTGCTTGTGTCTCGGTTACAGTTTTGGGTTATGTTATTCTAGATTTTTTTCCTCCCCTCCTGTTTCTGTGTGCTGAGGGCAACGGTTGCTGTTTTGTTGCTCGTTCAGGACAGCTACAATTGATCTGTTATTGTGCAGGCAATCTATCATGGACATCATGGAGTGGAAGGTTTCTGCTGTTTTGTTTTCTTCAGGCGAAGGCATGTGTGCAGTGACTGGAAGGATAACCATTGGCACTGAACAGACTCCAAGGTCATGGGGGGCTTTATGTGTGATGAATATATGTATTTATTTTTACACAGGGAAGTAGCTTTGTGAGCGCTCCTTGGCTCTAGCCTTCCATCCTCTGTTGGGGTCTGTGGAAAAAACCAGGAGGGCTCCTTCCTCCCTGTAGATTTAAGATGTCTGCTGTTTGCATGGTGGTGCCACAGCTGCATGTAGCTCTTGAGATCTGCTGTGGTCGGTGTATATGTGAAGCTCGTAAGCACGAAGGTAGAAGCTTTGTTGTGGGATGCTACCAGGGAGAGAAAAACAGAGATTTCTGAGATCATGGGCTGCGCTGTTGATCACGTTCAGACCTTTGTTCATCGCATCTCTCTTCATTTGGCTGACTGAGCCGACATCCTGGAGATATTTTTTCTGGGGTTGAGTTCCATATGTGCCTACGCCTTTGATAAGTTGAGACCCATGTCCCCAAGGCTGATTCATTTCAATGTAGCAGATTTTGTTTTCCTTTCCTTCCTTCTGAGCACACTTAGTACAAACAGTCTAATTCCTAAATTAGCTCAGATTATCTTTTAATGAAACCAGAGTATTTGAGCTAAGAAGCACTGAGAAAAAGTAAACTCAGGACAGGATCACGCTGTAACTCATATCTGAGAGAAAGGCTTGCAGAAATATCAGGTCTTACAGTTAGTCCTGATTTAATAGCAGAGTTTATTTGCCACAATTCTCAGGAGAGGCAAACTGATACCGGGATATAGAAGTCAGTGGCAATACTGAATTTTATTTCACCCCACTACTTGGCCCAGAGAGTGCAACCTCAACCTCGAAGTCAACAAAGTGTATTTTTGTGTTGGCTCTTGTTCCTTTGTTTCCATTCCCTGTTCTCCTCTCACATCCAGCCGTCCCATATCACCTGTGAAGAGAGCAGGGGTGGGATTCGGTACACGCTGCAAGCAACAGGATTTTGGGTGAGTTTTCCACAGCAGTGCAAAAGTGGAACAACTCTGCTGAAAATGATGTAAATGCCCCAGGGAGGAACTCCCTCTTTTTTCCTATGCACAACTTTAAAGTCGTCTTTGCTGATAATGTATCATCAGGGCTAGCTGTAATAGCACCCTATTTCAGAGTATTCCTGCTACCCAATACATACAGCATCTCCTCATGAGACACGTTTCCCCTTCCCTCGGTGCTGAACTTGTTCTGTTCGTAAGAAATGCTTTGCATTCAGAAAGGTATTTGGTAGTTTTCCACAACGCTAACAAGTACTAGAATTCATGTGGCTGTTGAAACGCTGTTTGGATTGTAAATGAGTGGGCACAAATATATGGGAAGAAAGGCAGACTTTTCTGCAGAACGTTTCACGGCAGAATGTCCAGTCCCCAACCCGTTGCTTTGCTGGTGTTTTATTCTCTGACTGCCTCTTGTTTCTCTCAATTTATTGATTTGTCTTCTTAGGTGTGAACTTTTATCTTCACAAGACAAACTAGGAACTCGGGTAAAACAAACCAGATTGTTCAAGTCTTGTTTATGTAATTCACTGCAGTTCATTGATTGTATCCCCATGCAAGCTGATGGGCTGATCTGTAGAGGAGCCAGATTAATAAATTCAGGGTAGAACTTGTTAAGAGGTGCTAAATCATTCCATCTCCCGAAGAAAAAGAAGCATCATCACACAGATCATTTCAAGCAAACATGGCTGTTGTGCTGAGGAATATTCCCTTGGAAAGATTCCTGCAGAAATACACAGCCGCAGTTGCAGGGACTCTTGTTTGCTGCTCTGATTCTACACTACTGTTAAATCCAAATTCTTCTGAGAGAATTATGCCATGAGATGAGCTAATTTGCATTTGACATTAGAGTTTATCTGCCCTGGAGACATTCTGACAGTCTCATTCCTGCTCATTCAGGTGTCACATTTTACTTTTGGGTGGCTTAAGGTAGGACTATGCTCTGATACTGCTTTGATCTATGAATTTGACAGGTGCTTTCACAAAACAATTTTAAAAGGTGTGAAAATCTCTGCTTAATACCGCTGTTTAAATTAAAAAACACATCCCCTCAATAAATTAACCCAATAATTTTGGTATTTGTTAGCGTAACTCATAATTGACTCAAATATGACAGAAAAAGGGATAAATATTGATTCGGTCTATTTATTCTTCTTCTTAATAATAGTTATGTCAATAGCAATAATTATGATTTCTTTTATAACATGTTGGGAATATCGAAGTCTAAGAGCTTACTGAACATACAACATTAAACTTCTGTCACATGTGTTTGCAGGTTTGTCTTTCCAGTGTTGAGGCATTTCACGAAAAGCCTCAATCACAGTGGCTTTTGCAATCCATTAGAGATGATTGGGTCACGATTGCTAAGGAGCAGCAAATGGAAGGATAATTATAGTCCGTTATCTATGATTTGTTGGGCCTCCTAAATAGAGCTGAAGGTTAGGGCAGGAAAACCCTTTTCATCTGCATGGTGGGTTAATAGCCTAGATTTTTAATTTTCGTTCTTTAGTTCCTCAGAATGAAGCAAATTTTGCTGCTTTCTTTTCTTGCAAGGGAGGTATGTTGTCCTATCTGATTGAGTGGGGATTCTTAAGGAAAATATACCTTATTAAAGGGAATTGTGACAGAATCAAGTTCTTCTTTTGCAGGGAGTAGTATCATTAGGTCCATCTCTGAGAAAATTTATAACTCCTTCACTCCTCATTCTCAAGGTGAAGACTTGGCCCCGAAGGAGCCCCTGGCAAAACTACCATTCATTTTATGTGGAGGAAGGCTTTCTCACTCAGGAGAAGTGTTTGGCAGCCTGAGTGACATTCATCTGCTCTCACTTAAGCATCTGAAAACTAGATGTTCACTTCACAACCAAGCTAATCACCCCAACTCACTATACTATAAGTGGGGAGGGTGCTTCATCTAATCCTGAAGTGGATCACCCTACGGAAGTTCTTGCAACAGCTGGTTCAGAGATATACATCCAAAATCAGTGAGATTAATCCTTTCACGGTATCTCAGAGATATCTTCATAAAGTGCAATTCCTCTCTTACTCCCATTTTGCTCAGGGGGAAGACTGGTAATTTTTTACTAGCTCATAACAACAGCAAACTGTGATAGGTGTTAAGTTTTTTGAAAAGCCCAAGCCTGCTGTGGTGGGCCCCACATCTTCCCTTTATTCCACCAATGGCAGACTCAGCCTGTTCCTTGCAAGGAGAATTCAAGCCACAAGTCCCAGGCCAGATCCTATCTGTCTTTTTATTTATTTCTTTTAAAATTATTCATTGTTTATTTTAAATCTCAGAGGCTTCCTCAGTGTATCAACACTTTCTGTCTTCAGAACACGTCCAATTACTAGGAGAGACTTGCCAACGGAAGCTTGAACGTAATTTTGTGAACAGGTGGGGATACATCAACACAGGGACGCATCCAGGATGGCTACATGATTTTCTGTGGGCAAATCCAAGCTCGCTCTGCCTGTTCTCTGAGCCAGCCAGAAGCTGTGTGATGCTCCAAGCCTCATCTAATATACCCCACTTGTGAATAGGTCTGCTGTAAGTTGCAAGAAGATGGAGATGAATGCTGACCAGACCTCATTAGCTTAGGGTTGGCAACTTGTGAAATGCATTTTGACCAGCTTGGAGCACTTGACATGCTTAGAACTAGGTGACCTAAAAGCCAGCTTTTTGCCATAAATCAATAGCTCAATGCTCTCTTATTATAATGCATCCACTCTCTGTGTTAAGCTAACAAAATTCCCCAGTCAGTTGATAAATGGATTTAACTAACACCTTCCTTCTTTATTATGGCCTTTAAAAATATTTACTGTAACCCTGTAACCCAAATAATGAAAAAAATAAAAATACATGAACCTCTCAGAACACATTGATATGCAGACTGGAGTTAACATTGTAGTAGTAAGAGATACAATTCTCCACAGTGGAAAGAAATTGTATTTTTTTTTTGAAAGGGAGCTTAAAATAGCTAAGATATCCCTAAGTATTAATTACTTTTGCTGGAATGGCAAGACTTTATTAAATCATAACATTTCTGTTACATTTTTGAAGTAAATCTATAGAAGTTTGTTTATTCTAGCAAAAATATAATATGGCACATTCATGGTCATAAGTAAAAAGCATTCCCTTTTCAAAAGCAATTTTTTGTAATAATGATATTTTTATATGTGTCTAAATTCTTAAATTGATGTAACTAGTACCAAAAGCCAAATATGAGCTTGGTCTTACCGTATATCTAAGATGTTGGACGTGCAACAGAACTTTGTCTCTTAGATTTGGCCTAGAAACAAATTATATAAAGAAGGCAGCACGAGTGCATTATATAAAGGCCCAAGTTAAAGTTAGTAAAGTTACTCATTTCCTGTGTTTTAGAGAGCTGGATCTCTGGATTCCTTCCAGGAGTTTTGTGCTCGAACTTAAGATGCAGAAGAGATGAGAGAGCATCAGAAATACCACAGATGCTTAAGCTCTTCATGACTAAGGCTATGAATGTGTCACAGCTGTCACTGGAGCCTTGGATGCCACAATCCCCACTCATTCATTCATTCGAGTTGCATGAAGTTTGACAGCTGGATGGTGGTTTTGTGCTTGTGAATGGGTTAGTTAGCCGAGATGATTATGTACTGTGGGCGAACAGCTGGAACAAACTTCATTAGAGAATGGTACTTGGTGACTG